CCGCGGAGCTCTCGCCCGGGGCGAGCGCAGGGCGGGTCCATAGTGGGACCCCCCCGGGTGTAGGGGGCCACGGGGTAGAAAGCTCCCCCATCAAGGCAAACGGAGTATCGGGCTCGTAAAACCAGAAGAAATACAGCTAGAATATGCTGAAATAGGGGATCCCCTAACTAGACCAAAAAAAAAAAAAAAACCGAAAAAACCCAAACAAAAACAAACCCAACCACGACCAACAAAAAAACCAAACTTAACACCTAAGTTTTCAAGACCCGAGGCCCTGAGGAACCTGACCCAAGCTCCAAGCGAGCTGATGGAGGCGAGGGCCTGCTGAAGCCCCTTCCCACCAGAATTACTTCAGGACCATATGCTTAGCTGAAAGTGCACATGAACGTCAGCTCTACCGTGTTGTTCGTGTGCATTTGTTTCCTTTTCTGTACTCGCGCTGTGCCTTCCACACCAATGGTTTCATGTTGTACTTCAGATTTGTGACCTGCTCTTCCCTACTGCAGTGCTGTTTGGAACTTACTACACTTTTCCTCTACAACGGATTATTGCAGTCCTGGAACTATCTGCAGTGACCAGTTGGTACATTATCCTTTGTGCACTCTTCTATCTAGATAAAAAAAAAATAATTAAAAAAAAAATCACATTGCATCTTTACAAGATTTGAGCTCCTCAGGCAGTCAAGACACTTGGTACATGAAATAACAAGGCCTTCCCTGCTTTTTTTAAGTCTTCTTTCCAACTACAGGCTCAGGCTTTAGTCACTCCGGTGGGACTGCTGCAGGCATGGCCAGAAGAAAGGAGTGCTGCTCTAGCCTCTCCTCCTTACCTTGTCTTTATACTGACTGGCAGGAAGAGTAGAGAACCTGACCCTGAGGACACACACATCCATATTAATGCTCTCTCCAGTTAGGCATTCCTACTGCATAGCGCATACAGAGAGGAAACAAACTGATGACCTGGTGACTGAAGAGCATGAGACTATTTCAGCAGAAACTGAAAACAGTGCATGGAAGAGAACTTTTCCTCCTGCACACAACTGGTAGTCAAACATAACCAGACCGCCCCCCACGTACTGATGTCTCAGATTCAGGTTTAAGCTCCTGTAGCTGTAGGCTGCTATGTACATTTTCTGTACCCGTGGAGATGCAATTTCTTCAGTCTAACAACTTCACCCTGCCACCGACAGCGTTTCTCTGCAGCTCACTCCGCAGAGGCACACCAGCAGGTGGAGCCTCCTCATCACCCGGGGACAGATCGGAGAGGAATTCCTTCCACCGCACTTTGTTTTCCCATTTAGTCTTTAACTCCGAGAAAACTTGTGCTTGATTGCACTTTTCTTTAAGTAGTGATGCATTGACTGGCCCAGGTTCTGGCATAACTTTGCCATTTTACTGTATCGAATTTTCCCTACTTGCATACAGAGACTGTGGACTTTTCTGCTGATCCAGAAGGAATACGACAGATAACGTAACTTGATGGTATCTCACAGTAGTGAAGCCACCTAGAAGAAACTAGGATGAAGCTACACCATCACCTCAAAGGACTGTCATTGCTCAGGAGAACTAGTCACACAATTCCTTCCTTCCAACAGAAGGAAGACTTGACGAGTACTATTCTTCCATATTTCAGTTAACAGTCTTGAAGACAGATGTTGTATCAAAAGCATTGTGTGATGCTTTTAGGATGATCTCACTTTCCTGGTGTCCAGTTCAGGTATGTTGTTCTTCAAATTCTTCTAAAGGAAGCTGAAGACAACCTCCCCCAGTTAAAGAAAGCAGAATAGGATTTATTTTCCAGAAACATTTATTTATTTTTTAAATAGTGTTATTTCCTTATAAAGCAGCTCTTTAAGTAATGTTCCTTTTACCACAGTGTCTTTGGCATTTTCCTCCTAGAACTTTCTTGTAGAGTGGTATAAAATGTAATCTTTTTATATTTTCTTTTTACAGAAAAATAAGTATTTAAACCACAAATTAATTCCCCAGAGTATTAAATAACATACCAAAAACTTTATCAAATCTATTACATACACTAATGGGACAAAACCTTGTTGTGTATGTGCATAATAATTATATATACATTTTTAGCTTAGTTAAGTTATAGTGCTTCAAAGTTATCAAGGAAGCTTTACAAAAAAAATCCAAATGCACAATTGCAGTATTACTAGAATTTGTCACACTGTTTGTAGAATTTAACAATGTATACAATACATTGCATTTAAAAACCTCTGCCTGAATATGCAAACTGATGACTCACTTTATATTTTTGAAGAGTTTGCAAAAAGACAGGATTTTATACAATTACACAGTAAGTCACTTTCCAGATTTCATGGAATTAAGAACTGAGTACAATGATAATTATCCCCTATATGAAGACACATCTACTCGTAAAAACAATGGCGTCATGCACATCAGAAACTAAAACGCAGTGTGAAAATCCAACAGCAAAACGTCACATCCTTTCAGTTGCACTGAGCATGTCATTCATTCCAAAGCAGCATTACTGGAGTGAGCAAGCTCTAAAATAAGACTTATTTTTCTTGTTTTTTTCTATGTAGTGTGATACCTACACAGAGTGTACTCAACCATCAAACATGGAGTCCTTGTGTTCAGCGCTTCACACGAGGGTATTCCATCCAGTTTCCTTTTCCCCCCAGAGAGCTTAAGAAATTTTACAGCTGTTTCTTGTACAGTTTTTTGGTGGGCTCTGTGGTGGACGGATGATTTTCGCTTTCTTTAAGCTGTTCCTTTTACTGATGTTGCTGGATGTGAGGGAGTATGAGCGTCCATGCATCATCCTGGCATTAAGGCCATTTGCCATGGAGAAAGATTTGAGATGGCTTCTTAAGGCAACAGGGAGAGGGAGCTTGTCAACAAGATGCACAGGGGTACAGGAAACTATGGCACGGCAACAAAGGTCTTGCAGACTCAGTACTTAAAAACAGACATAAAACTCGCATTATAATAGCATGCTTTTGTTAGCCACGTGGTTGTAGCATACCCAGCACTCCACATGCACTCTGTCCTTCCAGGACGAATTCTCATTCCTCCTCCCACACCCTTTCCCACATACACATTAGCCAAAAAAAAAAAAAAAATAATCTGCTGCTTCAGTTTCCTACTTATGTCTTAATGCTTAGATGACTGAGCATGTAAGTTCTAGGAAAGATATGCTATTCCCTGCAAAAGCAGGAACAGCAGGTTATGCCTGCAGATATGCATTTTCTGTTTAGAAAGCAAATTGTACACAATTCCTGGCTTTTCTTTTTTGATGTTTTTGCAGCAGGGTTAAAGTTTCTGAAAATTATTTTATATTCATGAACCGTAAACCTTAGCTAGGACTAAATTTAGACATTTTCAGTGTGCATTGCTTACCCTTGTTTGGCCTCCAGAGCCTGTCCATTCCATGTCTCATCAACACTATTCTCGCTAGCTCAGTAAAGGACTCTGTAATATTGAAATTACAAAGTGGACTGACTTCAAAAAAAGTCATGCCCAGCCTCTCAGCATAGGCTTGTGCTTGTTCAGTAGACACTTGGCGCTTGAAGGCTAAGTGAAGGCGATTTCCAACCAGGATTTTTGGTACACCAGGAGCATGCTGAGCAAAGAAAAGCATTAAAAAAAAAATTAATAGTTTGGCTTCCATTTCCCCTTCCCTCAATTAAAACAAACAAAAGCTTTTTCAAGATTTAAAGACTAAGTGGCAGGTTGCACCAGATGATCTCTAGAGGTCCCTTCCAGCTTAAATTATTCTATGAATCTCTGATCTAAAAACATCCCTTCCTCAGAGAAGACAGGCTTGCGCAGATGATGTGGCGAATCTATAGTAAGAGTGGGACTACAATATGAAATCTTTGCCCTCCATATGCTTTCCATCAACACCTTTTAAGAAATCAGACACTTTAGCTGATATGTTTCCAACTTTCTAGAATTATAAACATAGAAAGAACGTTGTAAACTTGGCATCTTGGATAACTCTGTAGTAAGCACTTCCTGCAAATGTCAGTAAAACCAGCAGAAAATATCATAAGCAGTTGGTCTTAGTCAGCTGTTACAGAGTAGTGACACTCTGGGATTGTACCTTACCTCATCTATTTCTTTTATCCATCGATCGATTCCATCAAATGACCAACGATTTGTAATATCATACACTAGTATCACACCCTGTATTTAAAAAAAAAAAATAAAACCTGTAAGTTTAAAAGAGGCATAACACAGCGAATACTATCTGTGCATTTTCCAGTTCTGAAATAATCTTGGAAGATGCTGAGCAGCTTCTCAATGGAGCAGAACCTCAGCACCCTGCGAAACCAAGGCCCATCTCTCCGAGTAGATTACAGATCAGCTAAGGGGCAGAAATTCTGACTTAGTTTTAGGGTCTAATGTATTGGTAAATATTTCTTTTTATAACGGACAAGTTTGGTTGATCATACACACATCACAAGTCATAGCAAATACATATTTTTGGTAGCTTGAAGATTCAATGCTCTGTGCACTTCTGGAACATAACAGATGGAACTCATCAGAACCAATACATGTCATGAACTACAGCAATACTTTAGAGTCTGAAGTTATAGTGACTTTTAGTGTCTTTTTTTTTTTTTTAAGGTCATTTCCTCACAAGGCATTCCATTTCACCACATTTTAGACTATGTCTGTAGTTTTCACATTGCTCTTGACAGTTTTATGTTATCAATTTCTCTTACTTGGCACACAGTTTTAAAAAGTAGCATTAGCATAGCTTTCACGTGATCAAAGTAAGATAAGATGCTGAAGCTATTGAGGTAACCAACAAGAAGGCGTAAGAATATATATCACTATATTTTACCCTGATTCAACTTCAGTCTTATGGATTTTCCCTCCCCAAAAGAAAATCCTGCCCTTTGTTATTTCCCGTGTCTCATGTTCTCTTCAGACCATTACTGAATCTGCATGCAATCTGCAAGTGAGCTATAGAAGCCATCACGATGGTTTGCTGGCTCTGCTTTCATTTATCCAACAACCATTACTCATCACTGAGAAAGCTGTACTTTGCTTACCTGAGCACCTCTTGAATAAGACCGAAATATGGTGCAGAATCTCCCTTGCCCTGATGTATCCCTATACAAAATAAAATAGACATATTTAAAAGAAGTAGGTGGCCTCATACGTTAAGAGTTCAGCTAGATTAACTCATCTGTACTGATCAGTATCAGCTCTTCTCCATTAGTCATGCGGTAGCAGTCACTAATGAATAAGAGCTCTTCTCCATCTCAGCAGTTTTTTCCCCGCTGGCATTCTGCCCTTTCCTCTACATTTCTCAGATCTCTCAGGATAAGAGGACAAGAACTTCAAACTTTACTCTTGTTATTGCCCTGGGAAAACAAAGGCTGTTACTCAAGTGTACATATGCCACTAGACTTTGCATTTAGTTCAGCTTGAAGGAAGATTCTGTTTTCACAGCAAAAGAAAAGTGGGAGGAAACAATAGCTATCACCAAGGAAACTAATGGAAAACCAGTTTGTTCTTGATTACAGCAGCAGTAGTTCATCCTGAGTCTAGTATGATGAAGGCATCACTACAGAGTCGTACACAGCACAGATTTTTAGAAAAGCATGCACAAAAAAAAAAATAAATCAGTGCATAAAGCTTTTGGAAGCAAAATCAAATTTATAGTGAAGAACATGATAAGAAGCAAAATTCCATAAAGACTTTTTGAGGTAGATTACAGATCTTCAAATGCAAGGCACATATTTCCATATATGGTCAACTGTAGAAACATTTCCAATCTGTTATTTTAAGGAGTCCAAAGAACATCCTTGCCCTTCAGAAAAAGAATTAAAACATCTTCCTGGCTGCTTCTCAGATAAGCTTTATGTGGTATTTTTCCTAAGCTATATAAAGTGGAAGACAGAAGAAGAAAAAGAAAGTAGGTGAACAAAATATCAAGTAATGAAGATACCATATGGCAGAGTACTATTATCCATCATTGCATTTTACATTTGAAACATCATTTTGAAAATCAAAGGCAAAAAACCCTAGTGAAGAATAAATTAAAAATCACTTAGCTTTGACACACAGGCATTTAACTTCAGTAACTTAGAAAGTTTCAAACAAAAATAAACACAAAAATTAATTTTAAAGATGGAAGTGGCACAGGATTGTCTCTTTCTAGGATGAAATAATAATTCATTTTCACCTCCAATTCTCTACTCTGTCCAAACACTGCTTCTTCCTAGAATCTGTCTCTCCAATTTATCTAGATTATAGTTCCTCAAAAATCTCACTCCATCTTCTTAGTGTCCTGCACTGACCTTATTTCTCCCTCTTTTATACCATGAATTTAGGGTAAGAGGAAAACAACGCATTTAAGAGGCAGTAACGTTGCTGCATTTTTCAAGTTGTATTTCTAAATGAACCAGAAGATGGCCATCTTCAAACAACCTTGACAAAAGCACCCTGATTGACCCTACAGGAAAAACATTTGTTGTAAAGTAATTTTATTTGTTTTATTTATTCTCCACGTGTTTTTGTAAGGATCAAATCATAGCAGGTTGCATATCAATTAAATTATATGAGCAATAACACTGGGGATTTTTTTTTTAAATAATATTGTTGTTATTTAGTCAACCATTACTACTAACAAATTGAGGAAAGGGATGTTGCTATACAATCACTGTATTCTATGAACTGTACTTTCATGGTTCTCATTACCAGCGTGTTTTATAATCTTTGAAGGCACTTTGAATCTATCTTGAAGGCACTTGTACTCTTTTGTGCATTTCTTCTGCATTTGTTATGCATCTCTCATGGAAAGAAACCATAGAGTCCCTCATTTTACATGAAATAGATGCAAAATGGAGGTAAAGAGAAAGCGTGACTTACACCAAGGGCTAGCTGCCTGGTTCACTCTTCCTCAGTTGACTAAATATTTCTGAAGCATAAGGGAGAACTCCTGCCCTGAAGAGCTGCATTTTTGTGTCTTTGAAATATAAATTATGAAGAAAGGTAGAGCGCTTACCAGAGCTGTAGCTTGATTCGTCGGCCATCCAGAAGAATCGTTGTAGTCTTACAATCTATACCTGTGGGGAAGAGAGTCATGCAAATCTTAGAGCAGCTTGCAGGTATGCAATACTCACACAGACAGTGATGGATTTCAAAGGAGCTGACCCTAAAAAAAAGGTATTTGTCATTAGTATGCTGTGAAGTGCATATGGATAAGAACAACTTGTTCACATAAAGTTACAAAGACCTTTCATATTACTTAAGTTTGGTCCACTCAGAGAAAATGTCTCGGTCTCCCTTCAGGTTGATAAATGGTCTGTTTTATTCATTGTCATGACAATATATATGCTTAGAGAGTTTTATCTCGTCAACAAAAGAAGGCAGAACTAGGTTTTTGACTTTTCTTTCACACTGGCAGACTAAATGCTGTTCTTTTTCTCTATTCCCTAGCTTTACTGCCGCTATTATTTCTTCCTTCCTTATCATCTCTGACTCATAGACAGCGCTCATATCAGATACACGTGTCCCCCTCTTATATAAAAGCAGCAGATGGTGCGAGAAGTGGCTTGTGTGTTGTCTTCCAGCCTTTCCTATTCCCATTGGGAACAGCCTCCTCTGCCCACAAGACCGATGCAGTTAGTGTCCAGCAGAACACCCCCAGGTTCCATTTACTTCTTCCCATAACAAGCCCAGGCCTTGGGGTTGAGCTACAGTACCTCTTTTAGATGAGCTGAAGAAGTGCTGCACTGCTTAAGGGAAGTATGTATTGTGAGTATGTATATATACATATAGGTGTATACACACATATAACTTAGCTCACATCTTTATTGTACATTTTGTATTCTTTGCAAACAGCCTTCAGTGCTACATAATATTACCTTTTTACTGAAAACCTGACATGCCCCAGGAAGCAATTAAACTATGTAAAAATAAGTCTAGCAAGCATTAGTGTTTGCTTGGGCAAACCGGGTGTGTTAGTTTCAATCAGATTAGGTAAAACGCATCAGAAGCGGTTGTGTAGCTGCAGCTGACCCCTGAAAATATCCACCGCCATGCCAGGGTCAATGGCTTTGAACACTGGGCTTCAGTACTGCATCCACAAATTGCATAATTATAAACATTAAAAGAAAGGAAGGCTTTTATTTTATTAAATGTTATTTAAAAAGTGTGCATTCAGTATTCACACTGTGCAGCCAAGCAACACAGTTGCACTGGTAAATGCATTTTTCTCATGTTTTATTTGCTGTGTCATAGTTAACTTCTGGAATCGAACATTTATTTAGAGTCCTCCAAATGAAGTTTAAAACGTATGGAAACTAGTTTTGAAAAATGTACTCAAATGTAATGAGCCTTGTACCTTGAAAAAGAGAGACATGCTTTATTTTCAGAGCATGAGCAAAACAAGGGGTGAGAAAAACACATTGAAATGGAAAAACAAATGCATGCAGAAGAGTGACCTAATTACTACTTAAAATTTCAGCACATCTTTATCAGAGGAAAAGGGATAACAGTGCTGAAGATGATCCTGTAAGTGTAAGATTCATTATTATGGGTGGCATCAACATCCTGAACAAAAAAAAGTTAATCTAGATATCAATGTTTGTATTGATAAACATAACAAACGCTTACCAATAAGATTTTTTTGTTGATGTTGTATTTAAGGGGGAAAGAGAAGTTTGAAAGTTTAATAAGAGAGTGCATCAATTACTTACATTGCTCTCTCAAAGAAAAAGTATAGCATAACACAGCACACAAACAACAAACGAAAATCTGTTTCAGCTGCAAGCACAACTCTGGGGAGACCTCTATCACGCAGGAGATTTGCTCTCTTTGCCTGAAAACATGTTTTGTCAGCAAGTTCACAAAATGAGCTTCCTGTTGCTCCTCCAGTGGAGTACTGCCAAGTGTTGCTACCAGTGGCCATGAGGAGGTCCTTAAAGCAGTCACTAAGAGTCAGTTACCTCCATTTTTGTAAATAAAACATAGGTTTAAAACCCTCTGGCATAAATAAGCAGACACAGAAAAGGAAGCCTTTCCCATCTCCTTTTCCATGAGGAAAGGACTTTGTAAGACTAGGTCTGGAATCAAGAACAGATGTTAAATTACCCAATAGCAGTTATTGCAAGGTACCAGTTGTCAGCTGAGTCAGCTCCCCCTGTACCATAGGCAAAGAAAAGATATTCATTTGTGCCTCTTAAAACTTGCACCACACTAAACCGCTCAAATAGCATTTGCCACATGTAAGATGCTATCTGAGGCACACAGAATCTGAGCCCATTTTATGAAAAGAACTAGAAACTTGATTTCACTAAGTTATAATCACAAGACACTACTCTTTGAAACAAGGTATGGATGCACTACCCTGGAAATGTTCTCCTTGTTACAAATCAGGATAATTTCTTGCCCAGAGATCAGTGCACCATTACCCAATGCGGCTATCTCCAGGTTTTAGTCTCAAGGCAACCCATTTGTACACCACTATCACCAATTTCTCCTCCAGAACACAGACTGGGGGTTTCTGAATGCTTTTATTACACAAGACAATAGCATCAATTCCTTTTTGTAGGATACCAATTGTAACAGATACAAAAGCATACAGTTCTTTCTCTCTACGACAAATAACTTCACTTCTCTAACTTCCTGGCTTCTTGCATGCCAAAATTTACATTCCTAGATTAAATAGGTAGTATTCAAAAACTTTCATAGCAATAATAGCAAATCAGTTTTACTTATGTATTATATTTGCTGATATTAGTAGCGTTAAACATTATAAGGTAAAGAGATTTAGAGCCAACAAGTTTTGAAGGGTAATTGCACTGCAGTACTATTAATTAAAAATATTTGTATCTATGAATTTGTTTGCTTTGTTACATGGTTTATGTAATTGCTAGCAGCAGGAGCAGCTGCTAAGCACCTGCCCAATTTGAAAGCCAAGAGCCACAGAGGAAGCGGTGAGTTGCTTTGTCACGGCCCCACTGAAAGGGGTATTGCAGTTCTGAGAGCAAGGGCATTTCATAAGAATGAGAAACCAAGAGGAATCGCCTGTTACCAAGATCCTGGTATGGAAGAAGATAGCAATGACCACAGAGATGGTCGAAAGCAAGCTTAAGAAGCAGTCTTGCTGGGACAGGAAAACCAGGTAAGTAAGAAGATCAAGAAGATAGAGGCACTGTGATGATAAGTCACGCATTATTAGGAAACATATTTCAAAGATGCCACTTCATTTCTATTGCCTGCAGGATAGTTCACTTGAGTCACATCAACATACAGGTTCGCTGCTCCCGCTTTGACAAACTGATGAATACATCCCACTGGCAAGTAGGAGTATATTAGGAAAAAAATTTCTCGACACAGCTCCTTCTAGTCTGGCAGCAAAGAGAAGGAGCTACATTCTTCTGATCGTTCCAATTCAAATCAAAGACTGGTTCAACACCATGCCAACTTAACAGTTCCCAGATAAGCACCAAGCTGAAAGGCCAAGGACAGCAATAATGGGCATTTCAAGCTTTTAGCTACCTGCAGAAGTGTGAATTGAAGCATCTCCTGCTTTTAATCCAGGCTCTTATTTTGAAAAGGCGCACACACACACACACACACACAAAAAATCCAATGAACATATTACCACCACTTTTAGGAGACTTATTTTCATTTATCAGCCAAAGTGTTCCAGTTCTCCAGCAGTATTAGGAAATAGTCAAATCTACAAACCCCAAGTTAAAATAAATAAATAATAATATCAAACTTGTAGACAAAGTCTTGGGACACTGAACAGTCTCGGACATTGAAATTGTTTGTGGGCTGAAAGAACAAGTTTCATCATTTCAGAAATTCCCCAAACCATAAAACATGCAGAACAAACCCTGCATAACACCGTATAACTCATTCCAGCATCCTGTGCTACTACGGATATTTCCCGCAGGGTGAAATACCTCTGCTAGTTTATCTAAAGTTAATGAAGAGGCACAGACCATGTTTAGCAAACACTGACACATCCCACACAGTGAACGGACATCCATCATTCTGTTAAAAGACATACCAAGCATAGAAAATGAGTACTGCACGGCTAGAGGACACACAGCTGAATAAACCTGGCACTGCGCTTTGCACCACAGACCATAAACTACTGCAAGTCGCTCATGCTTAGCCACACACACAATGCAAAATATTACTTTTTTTTTTTAATGATATGCACAAGACAAGTCTGAAAAAGATACTATTACCAGCTGCTCTTTATGGAAACATCTTACGGGTTTCTCAAAAGGTTTTTGACGAAAAGATGGATTCAGAAGCTTCCTATTCTTCAGCTGTCATACAGATAGAAGCAGTTGATAATATAACCTGAACATGTCTGCAATTAGCATTTGCCACTGATTAAGAATCAAAACAAAAAGCCTTTTGCCATGAATCATCAGAACACCATGAAACTGTAACAATGAGACCAACAGATGTGGGTTGTGCTGTTGTAGAAATCAAATGTCCTTCCAGAACATTATTCACTCATTTAGTAAGACAGAATAGCTTTGTTTGGATATGCAACTAAAATGCATCTCTATACAAGAAAGGGAATAAAAAGGCTGCTGAATAAAAAAAAAAAAAATCACCTTTGAAACGAACCAGAAAAACCTCCCAGCGCTTAATACTTTCACATGGATGCTTTTAATAAAAAATATTTACCTAAAGCCACAAATTGAAATTAAAGAACCTGAAAGAAGCCACTGTCCTTGCTGAAGGGTTTTGATTGCTTAAATGCAATTGATTTGTAATAGATTTTGTTCTTCTCAAACACAAAATTAACAGATAGAAAACTGAAAGAAATATTATTGAAGCAAGGAATGTAGTAAGATTCCCAAAAAAAGCATTCAGCTGTTTGGTAACAGCTGCAGTAAAACGGAAGCCATCCTCTCTGCAGCGATGCTCTGCAGCCATTACCACACTATCACTCGTGCTTCACTGACCACGCTGCATTCATGGCAACACTGATTATTTTAAGGCTTCCTGTGAATTTCTACTTCTCTTGAAGCTTACAGCAGTGTATCAAAGTTTCTGGGGTTTGTGATGGATCTCCTAAGGGCAGAATCCTTCAGTCATTTAAGTTG